ACACACACACACACACACACACACACACACCACCCTTTGTGAATTTACTGCTCTGCGATTACGTGATGTTACCGTCAGCCCCTTCATCGTGTGTGGCATCATTTTGACACTGACACTTCACCAGGTGATGTAACCTATTATCCCTTCATCAGCTGAGGCTTCATATTGTCTTTTCATTATGTGATGTTACCTCTTGTCACTTCATAAGCTGAGGTATCATATTGTCCCTTCGTCAAGCGAGACATCCTCCTGTCTCTTTATCATCACGTCGTGATGCTACCTATCGTCCCTTCATCAGGCGAGGGATTCTATTGTCCCATTGCCAGATGGTATTACCTATTGTCCCTTCAGCAGGTGATGTTACTTGTCGTCTCGACACCAGCTTTTGTTTCCTCAATATTACTTTTAAAGTGCTGCCACTGTTTCCCCTGCATCAAGTGACAACGCTTACTGTCTTTTATTAGGCGGTAAGAGTGCGAACGATATTTGGAGTCCCGTGGAATTGAGCATTCACTTGACCTTTCTATCATAGTCATGGAAAAAGAACTGTTCTGTGTAAATCAAGTCATGAAAACCATAATGTATTCCTAATATCTTTTTTCGTGAATTTGGACACAACTGTGTTATTTATACATCACTCTCTCACACATATCATTTACTCAAAGTAAAATACACGCACAAAGACTATACATAATTTCTTGAGATAAAAAGAGCCAGATGGATGTATGTATATTTTCTATTTACAGACGTCTCAAATCCACAATAGCTTCCGTGAGGTTTTACAACAATAGAAAGTTTGGAATGAGTCTCTTGCATCAAACATATTTTGAGACGACCATGTACAACATTCAGGCCGAGAGAGGTGGATTTTCGCTGCTTGATTCTGAGAAGATAGTAGGACTAGATTGGGTAATGAGTATTAAGTACGAGAACCAGGGTTCTTTCGCCTTTGCCATCTCTTCGATGAAGATGTATTTAATCAGATATTTTGATAATAAAGAGAAAGTGATATCTGTTGCAACACATAAGTGGGAGGGACTTCTAATACCTGTCTGGAGAGATACATCTATATTGGTTCTTGAGATTAATAGCATGAGTAAAGCGGTGTTCTTGAGGATTCTTGACTTCTAATTGATATGGTGATACTACTGTAGCTGATAGCTATTCAAGATACAGCTTTACTTGGTCAGGAATCTTAGAATATCTTAAAAACCAGACTTGTGAAAGCTCCTCCCTGGAGCTCACAACTTAAGAGTTGAAAGTCTTTCCACAAAGAGTGTGATAAGCATCATTAGAGACAATGATTATCGATTTAAAACGGGAAATGAATTGATTTTAAAATATTAGTAGCATGACATTTTGGAATATATTCTTCATGAAGGTGAATGAAACCTTTTAGCAGATGGCTATATAAATGCATGTGAAACAACAACAATAATAATAGCGATGGTGGGTAACTTTTTGAGTATCATTTTAGAATTTGTAAAGTTCACCACTGACAAACATTTCTTACGTAGATATTAAGTATTCCACACATGCATTATACTATGGACCTTGGTTGTATAAACCTAGACTCGGTTGGGATGTTTCGGAAAAAACACGAACGCCGAAGTGAGCATTCCGCCATATTCGATAGTGTTTACAAAATCAAGTTTCGTTAAGGCCGGTCATATGACGCCAATTACATCACGTATATTTCATATTCAGTTGTGATCAATGCATCGCTGAATTCCTCATACATTTTAGATTCAACTTACAAATGGCCTTTGTCACTAAAACAAAGTGTCTAGAAAAAACCCGAAACATAATGGATGTGAAAACGGACCGTTGTGCTCATAACACAGCGCACGCTAGAAAAGTAAACAAAACGAAAATCAGATTTTATACTGGGCAGCATTTGCTCAAGTCTTGGAACATCAGTTCGTCTATTCGTAGCATGCATGAGCTCAATATTTTCAGAATATGCACGGAACGAGTATCGTAGCAAGAAGTAGCAAATTAAAGCAGATACAATACTGAAATTTGACATATTCATACGAAAGTTCTGTGCAGCGTGACGCCATGTCTGACGCAAAATCATGGAGGACGACATAGGCACTTATCGGCATATCTGACTTTTCCAATGGAAACAATAAAAACAAATAACCACAAGCAGATAGTCAGAATGTTGCCGATTACTTTCATCACACACTTATGGACAAAGGCTCCCTAGCAAAATCGTGGGCAGCCATATCCACTAAGCCGCCATTTCATGAGAAATCGGTTATCGGTAGTGATGTCATATGTCAACATTGTTGGACATATGTTTCCATTTCTTTGAGGTGAAGGTCGGTTGAATAAGAGTAAACACAATCACACTGTCCTGCGGATTACACTGTTATTATTACTGTATACTTCGCGTATCGTTCAGATATGGTTTCATGAAACTTATTTCATTATCAACAAGTAAAACTGACAAAATAAATAAAAATGATTTATTTATTTCTTGATTTGTATATATGCGCACGTTTTTAAATGATATGTCTTGTTCATTGAATGTGTTTATGGTGTGTTATAGACAAAACAATGGCGTATAATCATTGGCCAGGTGCGCGTTTGTCACAAATGTTTTGAGTATCATTGTTTTCGATAATTCCGTGAACAAAACATCACGAAAATATAGTGTCCTTATTCACAGCAAATTTTCGCCAAGTGATGTGAGTTACAAAGACTTAGTATGAAGCATAGCGGCCTCCTTATCTTTATAAGCGTAAGACCTTTACGTAGCCATTTGACGTCATTTGACGGGGAAAATCCATTTTCAACACATATTGCGAGTCACTTTTAAGATTGAGTGTATAACGTGTTATACATAATCACACAAACTAATTTAATACGTACCTATGTCATGCAGGTACCAGGCAGAATTTTGTTCGCTTACACTTTCCGTAAAGATGTCAAATTGAAAATATAGTAGCACAGTACTTTTATCAGTGCACGATAAAAAGCAGAGAAATTGGAGTAACATTTATCAGTGTCCACTTTTCAAACTGAGTTTATACCGTGAGATAGGACATTTAATACGCTACATTTCTGTGTAATTGTATAGCTGTAGGTAGATCCAGTGCGTCGCAAACGAAATGTTGGCGCACTGTTCACTTTTCCAGGGAGTTGAATGACGCTCTAATGATCCCCCAGGACCTTCATTAAGTTAATGAGGCACTAATGACAACAGAGCGTCATTAAAACGTTTAGTACAACGGAATTTAATTATGCATTACTTAATGAATGTTTAAGGGCACATTACTGCTTCATTAACCTTTGCTACAACCGGATCCTGGTGTATTCTGTAGTATATAGTTTTCTATGTGTGTTTAAAGCTTGTGAACCTCCGTATTGTATTATAAGTTGTAAAGATGTGAATACATGTGTTCATGTCCATCTGGTATATTAATTACTTGCGCCTCAGGAAATAAGAAATTTACAAAGGTCTTACAGTCCCTTACACCTTTTGAAACACCGTGTGGCGAATGTGCTACACTGGAGATATCTTTTTTAGCTTTTATGCTTAAACATTCAACGGTCACTCTCATAAAGTGAAATAACTCGCTTAGTTTATGATAAAATGATCGAATTTGTTAATCGACAGATGAAATACGGGAAAATAAGGGTTGTTTTTATATTAGCATTGACACATCCAAACAAGAAATTATGGCAGCAAGTCTATTACTTTGTTTATACACATATTTTATGCGCCAACTCTAAAATTCCGAAGCGATCAGAAGTTTGGCAGCCACATTCCATCCAAGGTCATCATCATTTTTACAATCCGTATAGTGTGTCACGTGACATATTTGACGGGGTGTATAGTTCGCTTACACGGTTTCGTATGCCTTGGCAATTGTCCAATCACAATTCGACAAATGTATCTTAAGGGTGATAATAATTATTGTTGTGTATAGTATTCACTGTGTGACAATGTTGTGAGTTGTATATGATGTTAGTCAGTGAGGGACAGCAGCGTGCTATGCGTAGACAAGTGCTATGTATATTTAGTTTTCAGAGCGGTTCGAGATGCTAATGTATCCCCTGTGATCAAAGAAGCAGTGTAAAACATGTTCTGACGGCATTGTGTGTTCCATTACAAGGAATACACACGACGTCAGTGCAAATACAGTTAAATATATTTTTAATGTAAATTGTCAAATAATTATGTGTTTTAAAAATGAAGTGAATTGTTTGAAAACATTTGACACAATGCTTTGTAAATATTATGCTTGAATAAAATAACTGTGCATCATTTGATGTTGTGCCATTCTTTAATGCAGAAAGATAATTACATGATTTGTGGCGGTTTCCTTAATCACTGTTTCAATGTTGACAGGTTAATATCAAAATCTGTATGATTTGACACTGGACACTTCGCTGATGCTGCCTCCCATATTGTAACACTCAAGTACACTCAAGTAATGTTCAATGAATCTTATGCTGAACTGTATATTTATATGCCCAAAATAAAATGCCCATTAACAAATATCTTACAGGGAGGATGAAGATACTTCCACACCAGTAACGAATCTTGATTGGTCAAGGCTTTTGGTCATGTCATCCCCAAATGCAAATCCACTTAAACTTAATCCTTTTGCCATAGCAAAGGGTATTGAAGGTTTAGCTGGGGATGTAAAAGAAATTAAAAAGTTACGTTCTGGCTGTCTTTTGATTGACTGCAGGAAAACAATTCAATCGCAGATCCTCCTTTCAACTAAATCGCTAGCTAATGTTCCTGTACAGATGTCTCCTCACAGGACATTAAAAAACAGCAAAGGAATTGTGAGAGATGCCATACGTTGTCTCTCGGACATGACGGGAACGGAAATTGTGACAGAATTGAAACCAGAAGGTGTCACTGACGTCAAACGCTTCACATTGGAGAAGGGTGCTGGGTAACGCTTAGCGCTCTTCAACACCCCGTTGTGGACCCGGGGGTATATTTTGTCCGCCAATCCGTTTGCCGTGGGTTGCGCCCCTGTGTCGGTGGAGGACGGGAGTCTGGTGGTTCAGGGCACTGGGAGCGTTGAACCATGTTCCTTTTGCCCAAGACACCACTTCGCCCCTTACTTCACCTAGACGGGTAGTAGAACTGGCCCGGTGCCCTGTGCATGTATTTGCGCATTTATATTATTGGGCTTTGGACATTTTGATTTTCAATGTACAAATTCTTTATATATGAAATTGCCTAGAGTCCTATGCCAGAAGGCGGTGGCTCATGGGCCAATCTGGTGATGTTGACCTCTGAATAATGTATGTCTCGAATTTCTTGTCAAGGGCCAAACCAGTCTGGCATTAAATTGGTAGATAAACGCAGCTATTCATGTCGTATTCACTTGAGTATAACACCCTTGTATCCCTGGTGTCAGCATCTTGGAGATCCGGTGTTATATGACACCGTCCTTGTTGACATTCCGTGGTGGATGGGGAGCAGGGGTGCCGAATCTTTTTCCTTTCATTATGGCGTCACAACAATCTGGTTCACTGAAAAATGTAGAGAAAAGGCGTTTGGATGAACTTGACCAAACTACAAGAAATACCTCTTCAAATGCTGAGTCATGGGCTAGATTTCTGGTTATTGAGGGCAAAGATAATTTACCTATACAACTTAATCCTTTTGCGATCTCCAAAGCAATATCTGGAAATTGTGGAGAAGTGGCGAACTTCACCCGTCTTCGTAGCGGCTCGCTTCTGGTCGAGTGTGCACGGAAACAGGAATCTCCAAATCTTTTGTCAATCAAAATGTTTGCAAATATTGAGGTTGCTGTGTCTGTGCACAGAACTATAACTTCTTATCACGGCATTGTTCGGGACAGGGCTCGTTGTGTTTCGGATATGTCTGAGGAGGACATTGCAACAGAGCTTAAGGAGCAGGCTGTTACAGTGGTGAAACGTTCAAGAGATAGGGTGTCGTCATTAACACCAACACCTATCTCCTGACATCTGCTCTTGCAACCATTCCCCAATCAATTAAAACAGGATACTTAAACCTCGGAGTGGAGGTGTATGTCCCCAATCCAATCCAGTGTTCTACATGTCAACGTTTTGGCCATGGGTCGAAATCATGTCGTAACTCTGTGGTGTGTCACCGCTGTGGAGATCAGACTGTCAAAAAGAGTATAAATGCGCAAATTGTGAAGGTCCTCATCCTTCTTCATACAGATCCTGCCCTGTGTGGCAAAGGCACGGAAGAAAGCTGAACATTACTTCCGTCGCCATCCTATGGTCCACAATTTAGACAAATTTAAAAATATTAACGCTAAAGCATGGCGTACTCTCAAGCATAGTAAACGCCAATCTTGGCGAAACTATGTCTCAAGAATCAATTTGCGCACACCTATATCAAAGGTGTGGAATATGATCCAGAAAATCAAGGGTAAGGGCTATAAATCTAGCATTCACCATCTCAAAGATGGGAATCAGTTATTGACTGATAAATCAGATATTGCAAATAAACTACGAGAGACGTTGGCCAAACATTCTTCCTCATCTCATTATGTACCTGAATTCCAAAATTATCAAAAACAGCAAGAAAAGAAATCTCTTAATTTCAATTCAGATAATGGGGAAGACTACAATGAAACATTTTCGATACATGAGCTACATACTGCTCTTGATCTGGCTAATGATTCCGCTTCAGGGGCTGATAACATACATTATCAACTTCTGAAGCACTTACCTGAATCATGTTTAGAGACGCTCTTACATATTTTTGATGGCATTTGGACATCTTGAATTTTTCCTTCGTCGTGGGACGATGCTATTATTGTTCCCGTACCAAACCCTGGACGTGATCATACTGATCGTTCTAACTATAGACCAATTTCACTGAATAGCTGCGTTTGCAAAACCATGGAACGTATGCTCAACAATCGACTTGTTTCATACTTGGAAACCAATATCCTTATAACTCATATACAATGTGGTTTCCGCAAAACAAAAACCGTACTACCATCGATCATTTAGTACGTTTAGAGTATTTTGTGAAAAATGCCATAATTAATAAACAACATGCAGTGTCGATCTTTTTTGATTTAGAAAAAGCATACGACACGACATGGAAACATGGGATTTTAAGAGATTTACATGCCTTTGGATTACGAGGCCGTTTGCCTCAATTTATATCCAACTTTTTAAATGACACGCAATTTCAAGACCAAGTGGGTTCAACCCTGTCTGACCATTATAATCAGGATCAGGGTGTCAAGGCAGTATTTTGTCTGTCACATTGTTTAGTATCAAGATAAACAGTTTATCAAAGGTGTTAAACGATTCAATTGATGGATCACTTTTTGTGGATGATTTTAATATTTCTTGTCGCGGTAAAAATATTCATACTATTGAACGGCAATTGCAGCTGTGTTTAAATAAAATAAATAAATGGCGTCTTGAAAATGACTTTAAATTTTCCAAATCAAAAACTAATTGTGTACACATTTGTAGAAAATATAAACCGCATAAAGATCCAAAACTATCTTTAAATGGCACTCCCATCAAAGTTGTGAAGGAGGCCAAGTTCTTGGGTCTTATTTTTGATTCACATTTTCTGCCACACATTAAGTCACTAAAAGCTAAATGCCTGAAGGCACTTGATCTGTTAAAAGTCGTTTCAAATTCCAAGTAGGGAGGGGACCAAACTACCCTACTACACCTATACAGATCTCTCATCCGTTCGAAAATTGATTACGGCTCCATTGTATACGGTGGAGCTTGTAAAAGCAACCTAAAACTACTTGATTCTGTCCATCACCAAGGCCTAAGACTTTGTCTTGGGTCCTTTAGAACCTCTCCTATTGATAGTCTGTATGTCGAAGCAGATGAGCCTTCTCTTACACAACGTCGTATAAAATTATCTTTACAATACATTACTAAACTATATTCTAGCGAGTCTAACCCTTCATTTGACTGTGTCTTTAACCCCCTCTATGACGATTTATACAACAAAAAACCTTCTCTTGTTCCGCCTCTTGTGCTAAGAATAAAGCCCTTCATTTCTGCTGCCGGCATTGAGCTGGAAAATATAGCTCCTTCCCGTTTTCTTTCTTCTCCTCCTTGGCAGCTGGTGAGGCCTGACGTTGACCTAACTCTGACAAAGTTTAAGAAATCTGTAACTAATGAATTGCAATATAAACAAGAATGTAATCAATTAAAAAAAATATATATAATACTCATAAATCCTTATTTACAGATGGGTCCAAGGATGGTTGCGCGGTGGCATGTGCCACTGTCGTTGGATCCCGAACAATATCTTCTCGACTACCAAATAACAGCTCTACTTCACAGCAGAAGCTAACGCCATATTAACAGCTCTTAAATATATTAATAAACACCGTAAATATGAGCACTATGTCATTTTTTCCGATTCTCTTTCTTGTCTTCAGGCTATTAAAAATCTTTCTTGTAAACATCCACTTTTATTAGAAATTATTGAATTGTATAATAAGTTTGCTACTGGCCAATGCGACATCGTCTTTTGTTGGTTACCCAGCCACGTTGGCATTTCTGGTAACACAATGGCTGATATTGCTCATAGGCAGCACTCAACAAATCTGTACACCACTTCTGATCCCAAACTCTGATTACAAAGCTGCTATTATTAAATCTTATATCCGTGATCTGATGCAAAATAAATGGGACAGCCAAGTAGGTATCAATAAATTACATGTAATAAAACCAACTATCGGTTACACCTACTTGGGTTGTCTGTCCAGATTTGAAATGGTTTATCATACGACGATGTCGTATTGACCACACAAGATATACACATGAGTACCTATTAAAAGGTGACGATCCTCCGTTTTCTATCTCTTGTGATGAAAGAATCACGGTCAAGCATGTCCTGCTTGATTGTGTTGAATATTCCCTCACAAGGGATATCTATTTCAAGTCACGAACTATGAAGGATCTTTTAGTAGTATAAGTTCTCATTTAATTATTGCATTTTTAAAAAATTAGATTTGTTAACTGATTTGTAAATAGATAAAGATTTTATTATTGGTAATTTGAATTAGTAACTGATATTGTTGGTGGCTGTACCCTCAAAGGGGGTTGAACTTCCTCAACCATGTAAAATCATGGGAGATCTAAACGGCCATAATCCTTTGTGGGGTAGTGCCGATACCAACAATAAAGGAAAAATCATTGAGGACTTCATTTCAAACAATAATAAATGCATCTTTAATGAAGGATATGTCATATACTTACACCCTGGTTCAGGAACGTATTCTGCACTCGACCTGTCGCTCACAGACCCAAGTATTTATAACGAATTTAAGTGGTCTGTCCACGATGACCTGTGTGGAAGTGACCATTTTCCTACAATACTTTCTGCTATAAACCCGAGTGATGACCCATCTACTACAAGGTGGCATTTTAATAAGGCTAACTGGCCATTATTTCAGACACTGTGTGCTGACAACTTGAAATCTGACTTTTTTGTCAATGTTTCAGATCCGATTGAGTTGTTCTCTGCTAAACTGAATAATATTGCCGATGAAACTATTCCTAAGGCTTCTGCTAAACCACATGTTCGTAAACCATGGACTACTGACGATTGTAAACAAGCTAGGAAGTGTAGGAAGAAGGCAGAGAAATACTTTCGACGTCATCCTATAGTTCACAATTTAGATAAGTTACAAAGCCAAGTCTCGACCTACTTTTAAAAATAGTAAACGTCAGTCTTCGACGAACTTTGTATCGAAGATTAATTCCCGTACGCCAATGACGAAGGTATGGAACATGATACAGAGAATCAAGGGCAAAGGTAGAAATTCTAGTGTTCATCATCTCAAAGAAGTGGTGAAGATTATAATGAAGTATTTTCACTACATGAGCTGAATACTGCATTAGCGCAAGCTCATGATACGGCAACAGGTGCTGATAATATCCACTATCAGCTCCTGAAACATTTACCCAATGCATGTCTTGAAACACTTCTGAACATTTTTGATAATATTTGGACAACAGGGCACTTTCCTCCGTCATGGCGTCATGCTATTGTTGTACCAATACCTAAGCCTGGCCGGGATCATACAGATCCATCAGACTACAGACCTATTTCACTAACTAGCTGCGTTTGCAAGACCATGGAACGCATGGTCAATAA